ACAACCTTTAACAGCATGGCGTATATGAGCAAAGAGACTTACTTGCCATACAAATGTTGATTACAGCCGTTGTCCACCCTCTTATGGAATACATGTCGCCGAGAGCTTCCGGCTGACAACTGACTAATCTGTTAGAACAAGATCCCAAGTCCCCCGAAATTCCCTAATTTATGGTTTTATTTCGCTGATTCAGCCTTGACGAAAGAGGGTGGGTGACTCTCCCCTCAGTGTCCTCAATCCTCATAATAACCTCCTCATTGGCTCTCATGGGTGGTTGTGGGCGGACCCCCTTGCGTCTCCTTGCTGTGTAAGCAGTCTATCACGAGTAATCCAGTGTACGAGTGAGGTAAGCTACTGGCTTTGTGGGTACACCGAGACTTGCTGAGTCTTCACATTCTTAACCTAATTGCCAGTCCCGGTGTTTACAATTTACGTCAATCACTGCGAAACTCTTTTCGCAAGTCTCTAGCTTTGGGTAATACCATCCTCTTTCTAATCTCAAATTTGGGGCATCACAGGGAACAACTGAAAGAGCCTCCTGCCAACTTCCCTGTCTCGTTCCTAGTCAGAAAATTGCCAACTGTTCTTCCTCTTTTAAAGGCATCCTTTCTGTACCAGTTTACCGACAATGGTAAAAGGGTTAACTATCCCTGTAATAGGCCGTGAAGGCCCTTAGGGTTGTGACACGTTGAGGGTCCCACATTTTCTAGATATTCGACTCACAGATGGCTGTGAGGTTGTCAGCCTTAAGCTCCGGCCGCCATTTACCCCCAGAAAGATTCCTGGTATTCATTTCTATTGGAGGCTCAGCCGACCCCAGGGCCACAGTGCGGCTGGAAAGATCAGGTAAATTGAAAAATCCGATGACCTCATCGGGAATCGAACCCTCGACGTTCCGGCTTGTAGCATTTACTGACAATGGCATCTAGAATAAAGTGGTCACAATAAAAAACAAAATAAAATATATAATTATTTAATGTCAAATTTGTTTTTAACAAGCGTAACACGGCCACATTCATGGGCGCTCCTCTCCGCTATATTTCACTTCACGCCCCCCCCCCCAGTAACAAACTATAACTAAACTAGCTTCATGGTTCTTGCAGCTGAGCCCTTCACGAGAAACCGCCAATTGTGCAGCTACTCTAGAATTTCCCAACATTTTATGGAACCCGAAAGTTCATTACCGTGTTCACAAAAGCTCCGCACTGGTTCCTATCCCGAGTCAGATCAATGCAGTCAATGCCACGCCATCCTATCTCTCTAAGATCCATATCAATATTAACCACCCACCTATGCCTTGGTCTTCCCAGTGGTCTCTTTCCTTATTCCGTATACCATCTCAAGTCCATTTTCCTTAGCTTAGGTCGCTTATCCAAAAAATTCTTCCAGATCCGATGCCTTTTGTGAAATTTCGTAACAAGCTTATTTTTTTACGGTGAGGAGCTGTTAGCTCTACCCCCAATCCCAAATCTGCACGACCACCCCTTGTCGACTGTCCACGAATGCTTATTCAGTATATTCGCAGCTACCCTCCATACCTGGAGGGCGTCTCCTCCAACCGCAACCTGAGGACGCGCCATGCCGTGGTGACAAGGGACCCACCTAACATCCGAAACCTGAGGACGCGCCATGCCGTGGTGACAAGGGACCCACCTAACATGCCCCCCAGTAACATCTTAACTTTACTGATATGCAGACCATTATTCCAGCTGTGCCTTTCATAGATTACATTTACTTTCAGTACAAGTATGTATTTCTTATTCCCATTTGTGCACTGGTTCCTTCCTGCTTTATCAGTTCCTTTCCTTCAGTATTCCCTTTCGATTTTCTCACCCGTTCAGCACCGTCTACTCACTACGGTAACTGTGAGATCCACCTGACCGATCGTCACATTTCGTCTTACTATTACAGGATTTGAGGCTTCCACTGGCTTCTGAATTATGATGTGTAATGCAACCCCAGAATTAGCATCTGGCCATAGAGCTTGGCTTTGGCGGTAATGCTCTTGGTGACTTCATGCAGGTTCTGGCGAGCGTGGCCTGCAACTTCGTGCTGCTGGACCTCAACCTGTCGCTCGCCTATCCCACCATCCTGATCGCTCAGTTGCACCGGAAGGAGGGCCCGCTGTCTCTGGACGACGTGCAGGCGTCGTGGCTCGGTAAGTGAGGCTTTTGATCCTAACTGTTTCCTGCGCTTGAGCACAGTGTACCATGGTGCCGTGTGTTGCAGGCAGCATCGCGTACATCTGCCAGCCGTTTGGCAGCCTAAGTTCAGGCGTGCTGGTGGAGTGGCTGGGACGCAAGCGCTTCATGATGCTGCTCAACGTGCCCTTCTTACTGGGGTGGGTCCTCATGTGCACGGCACCTAATTACGCGATGCTCTGCGTCGCCAGCGTCCTCGTCGGTGTCACGATTGGCCTCACTGAAGCACCCATCAACAGCTACATCGGAGAAGTGTGTCAACCCGAGATCCGCGGAATGATGACGGCTTGTGCTGGTACGTAAGTGACTAACCCATGGGTAGATGAGAAGTGCATACAGAAATTTGCCGGCAAACTTCAAGCGTGTTGAGAAATTCAGAGAGGTTGGCGTAAATGTTATGATAATATTAAAACTATATTAGCGAAATAGGGTGTGAGGACAATGGCTGGATTCCATTTGCTCCGAATCGGACTCAATAGAGGGGCATTTGTTAACAAGTTAATGAATGTTCGGGTTAGGTAAAACGAAGGAATGTCTTCTGAGAAACTATTAAATTAGCAAGGAAAAACATGTAGCACAGAGGTTATATTCTTCTTCTTCTTCTTGTTATTATTATTATTATTACTACTAGTAACAGTAGTAGTCCATATTAGGTGGATCCCTTGTCACCACGGCATGGCGCGTCCTCAGGTCACGGATGGAGGAGACGGCCTCCAGATATGGAGTAGCTGCGAATATATTGAATAAGCATTCGTGGACAGCCGACGAGGGGTGTTCCTCCAGCTTGGAGTTTGGGCGTGGGGCTAAAAACTCCTCACCATAAAAAATAAGCGTGTTACGAAATATCACAAGAAGCCTCGGACCTGGACAGATTCCTTGGATAAACGACGTAAGCGAAAGAAAATGGACATGAGATTCTGCACTTGGAATGTTAGAAGTATGTATAGGGCAGGTTCGCTCAGTGCAGTGACGGAAGAAATATTAAGGGAGGAATATAGACTGAGGGTGTTCGAGAACAGGCTGTTGAGGAGAATATTTGGACCGCAGAGAGATGAAGTGACAGGAGGTTGGATAAAACTGCACAATGGGGAGCTTCAATAATTTGTACTCTTCGTCAAGTACGATTAGAAGATCAAGTCAAGGAGGATGAGATGGGCAAGGCATGTAGCACGAATGGGGGAGAAGAGGAATGCATATAGGATATTGATGAGGAAGACAGATGGAAAGAAACCACTAGGAAGATCAAGACGTAGGTGGGTGGACAATAGAAAAATGGATCTTAGAGAGATAGGATGGTATGATATGGATTGGATTGGTCTAACTCAGGATAGAGACCAGTGGAGGGCTCTTGTGAACACGGTAATGAACCTTCGGGTTCTATAAACTGCTGGTAAGTTTTGAGTGGCTGCACGTGAATGAACGAACAGTAGCAGTAGTAATAGTAGTAATGCTTACAGTACCAATGATAGTTCAGTGCTCAAAATGAGTGGCTTACGGGCCGGACGGCCGGGGTTAAATTACTGGCAAGAGCAGGACTTCCTCTCTTCACTATCACTCGAAATGGGTACTAGGGGGCTCTGTCTGTAGAAACAGTATGCCAGAGTGTTAAGTTCTAGCCGCAAGTAGAATCTATGGATTGTTGCCTCTACTCTCTCTACACGGCCGCCATGGCCTGCTACTTATTGTTCCAGGAGTATTCTACCAATGTGGGTTCTTCCTGGAGTACCTCTTCGGCAGTCTGACCAACTGGAGAACCGCTGCCGGTATCAGCGCCTCCATCCCGATCTTCAGTGCCATCTACATCGCTTTGGTACTACTATATTATTTTTATTGCTAGTGGGGTGGGACTAAGTCCCTTGTACTGCGGCCACTTCTGGCCTATTGTACCAGCCCCAGATGATAGGTGAGGGTATTGTGGAGCAATTGGTGGAATGAATATTGGCGGGGGAAACCGAAGTGTAGATAAATTAGTAATCAGTCAACACTAAGACAGTAGTAAGGCCGCGCCATAGCTCAAGCGGTTAGTCGCTGGCTTCCTACCGCAGCGGCCCGGGTTCGATCCCGGGTCTGTTCAAGTGGGATTTGTGGTGGACAAGTGGCGCTGGGACAGGTTTTCTCCGAGTACTTAGGTTTCCCCTGCCAATCTTCATTCCACTAATTGCTCCACATTCACCCTCATCTATCATCGGGGGCTGGTACAATAGTCCAGATGTGGCCGCAGTACAGGGGACTTAGTCCCACCCCACTAGCAATAAAATAAACTTACAACGTCTCCGCTACTAAAACCAACCGATTAACGTTGTTGAGAGAAATGAACGCTGTATATTGTAAGAACCATACAAAACATATAAATAACTCTGTGCGATCAGTGTGCAGCGTTTTCTTATTGTTGAAGCAGGTTATACATATAGTAACCACTGGGATTTGAGGGGTTAAATTCGGTATCCCTTGCAGGTGCCCGAGGCGCCGATATGGCTTATTTCCAAGGGAAGAATAACTGACGCTGAACGAGCCCTGTGCTGGCTGCGTGGTTGGGTGGAGCCGAGCGCCGTGAAGCAAGAGCTCAATGAACTGATCCGCTACCACGAGGAAACCAAGCTGCTGCTAATGAACGAACCCCGAGACCAACAAACAAAAGGGCGGGAAAACCCGGCTTTTGCTGAGGAAAATGAGACAAGACCGAAGAGCAAAACTGAAGTGGTCACAGGTAAAACCACGAAGGCCATGGCATCTAACTTGACCCCTCCCTCACTCTATTTACTTCTTTAACGACGGTATCTGTATCTCAGATTATATAGCGTCGAATGGTAAGGTGATCAGTGAATAATGAATTGAAAATAGACGTGGAAGGAATGTGTCTTGGCCTAATTTATGGTGCTATCCTGGTATTTGCCTGGAGGGATTGAAAGAAAACCAGTAGTGTCCACAGTCCCGGTATCAACGTTCTAGGCCGAGATTTAAACTAGGGATCTCCCGAAACAAAGCAAGTGCCATCTACTCAACAATGACGTTCTCTGGACGATGCATGGTCCTTTACGAATATTACAGAATGGTCTGTAAAAGTCAGCATTGGATTAAATCGGCTCTGGCTAGAAAGTAACGTGATGTTAAGAGTCACAGAGTCGTATTTTGGGGTGCCTGATTTCGATTTTATTAAGAAGGACCTCTGACACGACTCGTGTATATTGAGTTTCTTTTGTGTCCCCATTCAAGTGCTAGGACTTGGCCTTAAAATAGGCCACATCGCTTCTTTCCTCGTAATCACTGAGAATTGTAGTGCCCATTTGATGCTCAATGTACGAATTTAGTTGTTTCAGACACTGAGGCGCCGGTAGGAGGCAGCATGTGCTGCGGGCGGCGTGTCGAGATGCTGGACCGTGTTCGTGACTTGGTGCGACCCCCGACTCTGCGCCCCTTGCTTCTCGTCATTCCGTTCTTTTTCTTCGTTCACTTCTCCGGGCTGACGTCCATCAGACCCTTCATGGTGCATGTGTTCGAGGAATACCAGATGCCCGTCAGCGGTGAATGGGCCACGGTGATTACCCACTTCCTATGAAACCCGTTACGTCATAGCACTTGCAGTTTTCGGAGCAATGGAATGTATACACAATGTAGAAAATTCTGTGTTAATATCTGAAGTGTGAAAGGTAAAAAGAAAAGGTAAAGCTATCGCTGTAAGAGGCCGTTGAGGTCCATAGGGCTGTGAGACGTTGAGGCTCCCACATTTTCTAGACAATCGGCTCATAGATGACGGTGAGGTTGTCAGCCTTACGTGCTGGCAGCCCTTTGCCCCCAGGAAGATTTCTGATACTCATTTCTGTTAGAGGCTGAGTCGGTCCCAGGGCCATAATGCAGCTGGAAGAATTAGGTAAATTAAAAAATTCAGCGACATTATCGGGAATTGAACCCGCGACCTCCCTGCTTGTAGCGTAGTGCCTCACACAAGTCATAATCCAGAAACATCAGAATATGCAATAATCTGCGAGACATGAGCTTCTGACGGCGGTAACCATGAAGATTATTGCCTTCTGGGATGTGACACCGTTCAGTCTGCTAGATGTTTAGCTAGAAGTCTGGTGCTTTGTGTATCGAAGAGTGTGAGAATTATGCAGAATACTGCCTTCCGGGATGTCGAATCGTGCGGCCAGAATAATAATTACCGACGTTTAGGAGAGATCTCCTTCCTCGATCTTATCTACTTTGAAGATGGAGTCAGGAAGTTCCTCCGAAACATCTCTAACGCCCTCTCTGATGTTGCAGGTGGTGTCTGGAGGCTGTGGAGTGGTCAGCACGTTCCTAATGATGGGCACAGTGCAACTGATCGGAAAGCGACCCTTATCGCTCATGTGCACGGCGGGCAGTGCGTTGGCAGCCCTGCTGCTTGCTGTGTACGCACTCGTGGAAGTAGCGCCTCAGAAGGCAGGGGAGCAGCTTAGCGCCACCTGGGCGCCCCTGTTGCTCTTCATCCTGCTGTCATTCTGTAACGGTATTGTGGGACAGATGCCATGGATGCTGCTTTCCGAGGTCTTCCCTTTCCGGTACGTGTCAAGCGAGCCCTATGTCAGTAACGCAAGGTGGCTCCTGTACTCAGCACCCGAAACCCATCCAAGTACTGCTTTAATATTAAGTTTCTATGCCACAGGAAAATTAGCCGGAATAACTCAGTAGTTATAGTGAATGACCATGGCTTGGACGGCTGGGGTTCAATTCCCGGCGTCCAATACCGGTTTTGGGACCCACCCAGCCTCCTATCCAATGGAGAGTTAGGCCTACTTCTCCGGGATAAAACGACCGGGGTGTGAAGCCAATGATACACCTCCATCTAGCCCAGAGGTCAAGAATGTTGGAGCTATATTTCCATTCCACATAAGTGTTAAAAGCGCGGTGCTTTATTACCTAGGCACAGAGACAAGTTTACCTTCACCTCACAGAAAACACACTATGTGTCTGTTACAAGGACCTGTCAGTTAATTTTGTTTGGGGAGATAATTCTGTTCATTATGAGAATCATACGAAACACACACTAGGTGACAAAATGCAAGGTTGCTGACTGTTAAGGAGGCGGTACCATAGTGATTTAAGGCTTTAAATATCACGTCACGAAGGTGTATAAGGGAGTAAGCTTAAAGCTCCACCCTTTCCTAATCTCGAAGCTGCAGGGAGATATTGAGTGAGTAGCTCTTTCTGTTCGAAAAGTAACGCGTTTATAGCTCGAACTTGACGCAGGATCTTCCGACTGAGGTTCACCACACGGTTTTACTTAGTGCCTCCAGGCAGGCTGAAAGATATCTTAAATTAGTCCAAGACCGTTTCGTTCCATATCCTTTCCAATTCTTTATTCACCAAGTATGTTACCTCTCTGAAACATATTGTCTGAGCTTCTAGAACGTCTTTGAATAAACCGCAGATAAAAAGTAATGTAGAAATTAACTCGGTAAAGCCAAAGGAGCGTTAAAATAATGGTTCACAATAATCCGTGTGGTCCTACCAGTCATAAGTAAAGCGAGGACGACGTAACGGAACTTTGTATTCGTCACTGCAATGTCCAGTACTGACGTCGACCTACCGACAAGACGAAACTTGAAATCGCGCTACTGACATGACGCCATGCTGGAAAGAAAGTGTCGGGATTTTTGATTGCTTCCTTATATTTAGGATATAGACATACACGTGATAAGGTGCTACTGACACGACGTTTCTTATTCTGTGGTGTAGGACGCGCGGTCTCTCTGGGGGCGTCTCCGCGGCAGGATGCTACGTCTTCCTGTTCCTCAGCGCCAAGACGTTCCTCGACATTGAACATTCCTTCCACCTCCATGGCGCCTTCTGCTTCTATGGCACCATAAGCTGCATTGGCTTCGTGTTCCTGTATTTTCGCCTGTTGGAAACGGAGGGGAAGTCCCTGGAAGAAATCGAGCACCACTTCACGGAAGGCCTAAGTGCTCGGCGCAGCACGTACACGCCGTCTATAGGAGGTGTGGCCAAGCGATGTGCTACGCGTAACAAGTAAATGCAGTTCTGTTTCCAAACATCATCCATCATATTCGAGCGCTGGAACTACTAGGACAAATTTACTATGATTCCTACAATTTTCACTGCCTATGGATTCTGCCTCCCGCGCCAACCCTGCATATATTCGTATTCAGTTAATTCAATAATGTTCTTCATAGTATCCGGACTGGAAGCAGATAGCGCAGTCGGTATAGCGACTGGCTACGGGCTGGACGACCGAGAGGTCGGAGTTCAAATCCCGGTAAAGACAAAAATGTTCTCTTCTCCATGTCGTCCAGACCGACTCTGGGGCCCACTCAGCCTCCTATCCAATGAGTACTCCTTCACCGGGGGTAAAGCGGACGGTACGTGAAACTGACCACTCACCTCCAACCAGTGCCGAGGTCAAGAAAACGTGGATCTATACCTTTACTCTCCCACACGCCTTCACGGCTTATTGCTTTATTGTATTGTATTGTATTGTATTGTATTGGAGAGGGTGGGTTTCCCCATGCACTTAGACCAACTGTTGGTCCATTGTGCGTCCCCCTATGATATTCTACCAGTCTCTATTCCCTACCGGTACTGGTGCGTGCCATCAGTCCCGACTCAGCCAGCGAGTTCGGCCTCTACTGGCTCAGCGGTATCTCGATGTTTCCCCCATCTACCACAGGCGTTAGAGACTACTGTTGGGCGGGAAATGTCCTGAATTTGGCTCAGTGGTCCCCTTGGGACATGAGGTTTTTTACGTGCCGTAACGCTACGACACGGGACCCACGGCTTAAAGTCCCTCCCGGAGGACTTGTTCCCTGGTAGTGCTTAATTAGTTAAGCACATGAACAACTTTACCTTTACAGTACCCAGATTATGCAGGAATATGTGAAAGTTTGAGCATTAGATCCGATTTAATGAAGGTGATTAATTCCATCTCAACACGAAGATTATCCAAGTAAAGGTAATGCTCAAATTAGGAAGTAAATATGGGGCGGAAAAGGGAAGGAAATAAATGAATGAACGGAGGTGAGGTTACTTTTTTAAAGATGGAGAAGGAAGAAAGAAGGTATGAAATATTTAAAAATAGGCGGAAAGTGGACGAGAAAGCAATACAGGAGAGAAGAGAGCAAGAGACAATGAGGGATAAAGGAAAGGAAGAAATACGTGTTTTCCCGTCACCTTTGATGTGTCATGCGTTAACATTTGTACGGTAATTAATGAAGGAAACAGTTACTATAGGATTCTGACGATGGTGTATAACACACTGATATATTGGGTTTTTGGACTTTATCCATCGTCCTGGTTTTTAAGATAACAAATAAAAACACGACGTTTCGGAAACTGGATCTGTTTCCGTCCTCAGGCGAAGGAAAACACCTATTCTGTTGGGTCCGTTAGAAAGAGCTAGCCTCAATCACTTGATCCAGTTTCCGAAACGTCGTGTTTTTATTTGTTATCTTAAAAACCAGGACGATGGATAAAGTCCAAAAACCCAATATATCAGTGAAGGAAATGTGTGGACGGGTACTGGAAAGATGTTAATGACAGGAACTCGTATGAACTTTCCTTGCATGGGAGCTAGTTCGTAATTGAGGCCCAGATTGGGATAATTATAATGATAAATCACATTTATAGACGCTGTTCCTTCCGTACACATTTTTGCGCCAACCTGTAGCATTGAAGTGGCCACATTTCGAACACTACTATACCAGACAGCAGCTGCTAATTGAACGAGACTCTGAGGTTTAAGAGAGACTTCCGGAGGAGCACAATGAGACCCGCTCTCCATCAGATATCTATGTAGTGAATATAGCGGGAACTATATATTGGTCATTATGTAATTTAGTGGTCGGTTTCTGCGTACTATTCCAATTTGTACGCAACCTTTTTCAGACCACCTGAATGTCTCCTTCCCTCTTGTCACTGTGATTATTAATATATGCAAATAACATTTACTTCACAGTTTACATATGTGTTTACTATCTGTCTCCATCCACAATTCCATATTCCGAACTCACTCACTTATGGAGCTGAGCCCTTCTTGAGGAGCCACCAAATCTGCAGTTACTCAAGAATTTCCCAGCATTTTATGGAACTCGAAGGTTCATTACCGTGTTCACAAGAGCCCTCCACTGGTCCCTAACCTGAGCCAGATCAATCCATTCCATACCATCTTATCTCTCTAAAATTCATTTTAATATTGTCCACCCACCTACGCCTTGGTCTTCCAAGTGGTCTCTTTTCTTCTGTCTTTCCCACCAATATCCTATATGTATTCCTCTTCTCCCCCTGTTGTGCCGTGAAGGCCGACTCCCGGTAATATATTAAAAGAGTATTTAACTTTTTGTATTTTAGGGGAAAATGTTGGTTAGGATAGAATTATTTGGGGGAAATACTTGTAAGACGTACGAAAGAGGATGTAAGAAGGGTTAAGAAACTTCAAGGAATTTCTGCGTATGGACTTAGACGGACATTGGCTTGTCACGCGGGAATGTCCTGTCAGCAGAATGACGTTGACTGTACAACGAAATGGTAGCTTTACAAGTTCTACACGTGAAGATGAGGGAACGTCTGCAGGTAAAAGTGTTAGCCAAATGGGGTAGCAGTAAGAGGCGTGTCCATCCCCTTAGGATCCCAGCCAACGAGATCACCCACCTTTGGATGAGACGTCATTGGAGGCGGACTTACATCCCCCCGGGGAAGTAATGAGTTAGCATGAATAAAGGTATATAACCCGGAGAGCAAATTGTTATGGGGATTATTCAAACAGTAATTTTGGCCGATTGCGGCCGGAGGCTATATTGGAAGAAGCACCGACTAAGCGCCGGGCCACACAATCCGTCTGCAATCTCAACGCAAAGTAAGTGGAACTACTCTTATCACCATGCTTAATAATTGTGATATTATTAAAGTGTAACTTCCCCAATGGAATTTGAGTCAGGAACAATACAACAAGTGTACAGGGCGTAAGAGTGATCCAACGGAGTGATGCAGAGGTAGACAGGTGTAATGTAGAGACTGCAGAGGG